CTTGGTTACCCTTCTCCATTCTTCTTGATTTCAAACCACGCATTCTATTCATCCTATTGATTTGACATACGTTTTTGTGTGTCATGTCTTCGAATTGGTGATGTATAGATGTAGATATAGAGACATCTGTTATAGATTTAAATAAAAAACTTGGTAACTATGTCTAGAATTAAGACCTGAATCATAAAGATTATAAATTTGGAAATAATCGTTCTATAATATTATTTTTGTAAAAAGATTTTAGAATTTTAGTTACTCTCTCTAGACGAACCATTAGCTGCATCTTTCTTTCTCCGGCATGGAAGCTTCGTAGGTCTCATTATAGAGACATCTTCTATAGATTTGAAAACCGGGTAACTATTTCTAGAATTAAGACCTGATTCGCAAATATTAGTAATTTAAAAGTCAGGATTTTTAATTTTTATAGATTTCAAAGATTGATTAACTATTTTTAACTATACCATGAGCTGCATCTTTCTTTCTCCGATATGGAAGCTTGGAAGGTCTCATTGTGTTTTCCTAAACGTAACGACCTACAAAAAAAATTAAAAATTACAGTTAATCATTGACCTAACATGAAAGCACGTCTATAATATCATCTTTACTTGATGTTCAACTTAAAGTACTGGACGATAGGTTTAAGTAAATTTTGTATATAATATATAAACTCATGTTGAAGAGAGTTCGAGATTATCAAATTAAGGATCGTATTAATCTTATAATTAATTTAATTTTATTTATTAGCGAATGTGTATATTTCCATTTAGTTTAAAATATATTATTGTTGACATTTTCATTATCCTTTAAATTAGAAATTTTGCTAATCTATAGTTTTGCATATATTTTTGTATTAGGGATATATCTTACTTGTATTGTCACACCAAACGGTTTCCTATAACTTTAGGAACTTTAGACATAATATTAATTATTGGGATATTTCCAATATCTCACTTTTATTGTCACAACAAACAGTTTCCTATACTTTACTTGTATTGTCACAATAAACAGTTTCATTTATTTTGCTTGTATTGTCATACCAAACAGTTTCCTATATTTTACTTGTATTGTCACACCAAACAGTTTTAAATAATCAAATATATAAATATACTTGGATAATTATATAATTAATTTCATTATTGAATCATAATATCTTTATAATACTATTATAAATTTATAATATATAACATAGTATTTCAAATAATCAATAATCATGATATAGTTTGATAAAAAAATAACAAAATAATTAAATCAACTTTAAAAGATTAGCATGTTTTTGATAATCCAATATAACAATCCAAAACAATAAACCCCAATATTTGAAGCATCGCATTTTTGCAAACAATCCAAAATAATAAACTAATCTTAAGCTATTTTCTCAGTTTTGATTTTTTTCCTTGTAATCATATTATGACTATTCGCAGAGTCGCCACTCTTTCGGGAAGTTCTTCTCTTCGACGGAGATGAAGCCGATTCAAATGTAGAACTCTCGTCATTTCCATCTGTTATTTCAAGAACTCGAGGGTTGACATCGGCATTTGCATAGCTCTCCTATAAATGTAAGAATCATGAATACATTTCAGAATAAATTTCTCGTTAACACAGAATGGCTAATATTAATATTCGTAACATTGTACCTTTACAAATTGTACAACCATATCTTCTTTTTCCCAAAACTTTTCAACAACATATGCCGCTTTTGAACTCTTCAAATTGTCATTTGTGATCGTAACCTTAAACAACATAGTTTTTCCAATAAACGAAGAAATAGCATTGGGAATAATTGAAGGATCATCCTGAAGCATATGAATATATTGGTTAAATACCGTTTATTAAATTTATAATGAATATGAATGTTAAAATTTTTTACCTCAGCTATCGTTGCAACCAATTCATCAGCCTTCTTTCCAATGAGAAGTTGAGCCAAACCGTCAAAGAAAAGTAGCCTAATATGTGGCGAACTTCCATATGAGACATGTAAGACCAACTTC